CTTAGCTACTAGCCAGGCCTTAAGAGTTACTCGCCACCAGTTGCCCCACCCAACTCCTACCCCGCCCCTAAACATGTCCTCAAAGTATCCCATGAAATGACACTGTTAAATGTTTTATGCAGAATATTAACAGCATATTTAATATTAACATAAAGCAATGTAAACACCTCCTCCATCCCATGGCTTTCTTCTTCTCTAGTCCCGTCTCTCCCATCCGATGTCCTCCTCTACCAGTCCCCCTTTACCATCAGAGTTGTACCATCAGAGGCCCCCTCCCTTTTACCATCAGAGTCCCCCTGTACCATTACAGTCCCCCTTTACCATCAGAGCCCCCCCCCGTGCCACCAGTCCCCCTATACCATCAGAGTCCCCACTTACAGAAAGAGCCCTTCAGCAGTGCTGGAACTATGCATGGCGGGGAAGGAGAGTGGAAAGCAGAGTACAGGTGTGGCTGGACCGGGATGGCAGAAAGACTGGAGCAGAATAGAAGATCTACACTGGAGAGGAGGGGAGAGACTGTCGGGAAAGAAAGTGCAGCTGCAGTCGGAGCACAAAGATCTAACCTGTCAGATGAGAACCAGCATGTCAGGGAGTAGAGGTTAGTGTGGCGGCGCCCTGTACAGGTCCAGGATATGGAGCACCGGGGTCTATCTACCCAGCTGCCTGATAGTGGCGCTGGCTTTGCCAGTGACTCGCCCCCCACGTTATTTCCACTCGCCAAATGCGAGTAGGTGAGTGGAAATTTTGAGGCCTGATAATGCTGTATGGTTAATCACTGGTGAAAATGTATCTTCTCCCTTAGCAGTCTTTGTGGATGAACCAGAGGTGGCCTCATAGATCTCCGATGTGCTGGATCTAGACGTCTCTCATAATAACTTTAGAACTGTCCAGGTATGTGACTCTTCTCTTGCAAAAGCCTGGGAAACCGTGAGGGTAGTTCCTGGCTTGAAAATGTGTTCACTCATATTGCAGTTTATTATGACCTGTTGTACCAGGTGAACAAAATTCAGAATGGAGTTGTAAAATAATTTGTGGTGGACCTTATAGGAGTATAATGTTGGATTTTGCCTATACACATTCATGAGGGTGGGGGGTCACCTGGCACATGAAAACATATTTTACAGCATTCTTTTTGGCCTGGAGTACACACAGACGTAAAAAAAAAACTACTGTGACTCTTTCCAGATTGTAAAAGTTGAACCCCTATGACCAAATACCATAGCCTGCTGGTTCCATTACCAGTGATTTCAACCAAATCGCAATGGATCAGATAGGCCCAGTAGTAAGTCTGCTAGAGGCTATCAGTACATCTAGTAGTTATGGACTATGCTACCTGGTATTTCAAGGCCATTCAAGAAACACTTCCTCCAAGACCATCGCCAGAGAGTTGTTCCACATGTTTACCTACACAGAGATCCCAAGAGAAGTCCTAAGAGATCAACTGACTCCCTCTATGTCGAAGGTAATGAAAGAGTTGTGCAAATTGTTCATCATTAAGCATTTGCATACTTAGGTTTACCACGTTGGGAGAGACTGGGATTGTCTTGCACTTAGAGAGATCCCATAGTCTTCCTCTGGGTTTTCACTTCTTGAACTTTTTTATGGGAGGCACCCCCAAGATAGATATTGCTAAAGAAACCTGGGAGACTGAAGCCACTACCTACCGGAGTGTCATAGAGCTTATCTCAGCCATGCAAGACAGAACTGCCTCAATAATGTCCCTTGTCTGAGAACACATGCATTAAGCACCGAGTCAAGTGTGCAATCGAGTGGTGAAGGTTCAAACTTTACACCTGGGGGATTGTGTACTGGTTTTATTTCCCACTGTGGAAAAGTTCCTAGCTAAATGGTAAGGACCCTCTGCCATACTGGAACAGGTTAGGGAGGTAAACTAAGGTTTACCAACCAGATAGGGGGAAGAAGGAACATATCCATCATGCATATTTAATCAGAGCCTGGAAAGATGAAGAAGTCATCACAGGCCCCCAAAGAAAGAGGAAGACATAAGTGAGGCTCAGATACCCGAGTTTATGTCTACCAGCAGAAGTTGAGAGTTCCTGCTGCAAAATAAGGATTTCTTCTTGGTGTTTCCAGGCTGCACAAATGTAGTTAAACATGCCGACCCCAAGGTTCAAGTTTGGATTAAGCCTTAAGAGTATTCCAGAGGCTCACAGACAGAAGTAGTACAGACAATGTTTGACCTCAGGGTTATGGAAAAATCCAAAAATTAATGGTGAAGTCCTATAGTCTTGGTTCCCAAACCAGGTGGTTCCCTAAGATTTTGTAATTCCTCCCAGAAACTGAATGAAGTGTCAACATTTATCTCATTCCTTGGGTTGATGAACTAATTGAGAAGTTGGGTCTAGCTAGGTCTCTCAGTTTCCCTGAGGGTTTATAGCAGTAATACCTGGATGCCTTTTGGGCTAAACGGGGCTACTGCTACATTACAGCAGATCATGGATGACATTCTTAGGCCATATCAACACTATGCAGCAGCCTGTCTAGATGATGTTTTCTGGAGCACAACTGGAAAAGTCACCTACCTACAGTGCAGGTTGTCTTGAATTCCATTAGAAAAGTAGGCTTAACAACAAACCCAAAGAGGTCTACCATAGGGTTAGAAGAGGTCTAGTATCTGGAATACATCATTGGGCAGAGACTAATAAAACCCCAAACCCATAAGGTAGACGCCATCAGGGATTGGCCTGCTTCTGTCAGCAAGAAACAAGTGAGAATATTCTGGGTATGGTTGGATACTATTGTAGGTTCATCCCAGACTCTGCATAGCGGCAGCACCCTTGACTGACTAGACAGAGGGCAAGAGCTCCTCTGTTGGGATTAAGTAGAATCCAAAGGCTGAAGAAGCTTTTCAAAGTTTAAAGCAGACTATATAGACAGCCAGTTCTGATAACCCCAGACTTCAAAGTCGAAAGCTGACCTTGAAAGACAGAAATTATAGTATTGGGGAGTGAGAGTGTTGGTCATTAAGTGAGCCTTTCAGGATTGGGGATGGGGTTACGCGTCTAACAAATGACAGACCACACTCCCGTAAACTGGATGGCCAAGGAGTGCAATTCGAGGATTACCTGGCTTTCCAGGATTTTCCTTTTAAAGTTGAGCCCTGGTTGGGTTGTAATAAGAAAAATGTGGATGCCCTGTCTAGAACCAACTGATTGGTAGGTGATGTTCAAACGGGAAGGGGTGGGCAGTATGTGACAAACAGCCCCTATAGCTCCACGAAGTGCTGTGGATGGAATGTACCTGCCGTATAGGCTTTGGCATTTCATAAGACAGATTGGTGGCAGTGAAAGGTCTGTAGCAGTATACAGGAGTTAAACAGTGGCCACACCTTGTTCCCCACCTAAGGTAAAATTTGTCTTTTCCCAGGGATAATCCATGTTGTTTTGGAAAGGATGCATGTAAGCTGTGATGACACATGTCTGCAGGTCTGAGAGACCAAGTGTGATCTCGCTTCTAGCCAGGAGGCTAAATAACTTTTGTGGGATTTTGGAATGTGATTCTTACCCCTGCGAGGGAACCTCTTCTTCTGATTGTGCTTTGATCATGTCCAGTGGTCGGTCATGTTGGAGGTTTAGTATTCTATGTATAGTGTAATAGAATTGTATTATGATCTTCCAGTGTCCAGTGGTCGGTCATGTTGGAGAATTGTATTAGTATTCTATGTAGGTAAGTGTAATAGAATGTGTAATAGAATTGTATTATGATCATGTCCAGTAGACGGTCATGTTGGAGGTGTATGTATTCTATGTATTCTATGTAAAGTGTAATAGAATTGTATTATGATCATGTCCAGTAGACGGTCATGTTGGAGGTGTAGTATTCTATGTAAAATAGAATGTGTAATAGAATGTGTTAATAGAATCGTATTATGATATTCAAGTATAGTCCAGTAGTGGACGGTCATGTTGGAGGTGTAGTAGGTGGTGTTCTAAGTATAGAGTGTAATAGAATTGTATTATGATGGGAGATATTGGAGACTGTATAGAAATATTTTCCAGCAGAATAAAGACACAAAACATTTGGTTAAAATACTGAAAATCTAAGCATTTAATATAGACATCCTGTTAGCTGTGCTTTTCGTATACAGGGGTCAAGTACAAATCCTGGACTGTCGGCAAAAAAAAAAACTCTGAAGTTGGTCGTTCAAATGTCATTCAGAACTTAAAAAAAAAAACAAAAAAACATTGTACCAGAATATTCTGACTATAAAGCAGACAAAGACCTGGAAGCAGAAGGTCTTGATTTTAAAGGGAATCTGTCTAGGTGGCTTACTGCGGCTGCCACTGGCTGACTTTCAGGATTGGTGCTCATTCCAGGACAGGCTGGTCCACATGTACAGTTGTTTTCTGTCCCAGACCTGGCATCACTTTCCAGAATCAGACAATGGCAGTCACAGGAGAGGTTCTTCAACTAAGCCAGAACACAGCTGCTCGGACAGGTTCATTTTAGCTCCCAGTAATTCTGTTGGAGGGCAGTATCTAGGAGGACATGAGGGGTAAAGTACCACCATCCATACACAAATCTCGTGTGGATTCAGTCATAGGGAAGTCACACTGAAAATGGGATATTTGGTATTTACTTGTATGACACAATCCATTAACAGTGAATAGGACCAAAACGTTCTTGTGTCACCCCCTCAGACCCCCCTCAATAAGAGCAGGATGGGGTGATGGTAGAGTTGTACATGCACCTGGTCTTCACATACATAGTCTAGGGGACAACCCTTATGACCTGTAGTTGTTCATGCTGTATGTTGCCTTCACTAACACATTAATAGGGTCCATGTGACCCCTCTAGCCTTATTGCCTTTGTCACACAGGGCAGTATTACCACTCTATATACAGCAATAAGGCCGCACAGGTTCCCCCTATAATTGTGACTGTAACAGCTGACAAGTGACTCCAGAGGACATGCAGTCCCTCCATGTATATACAGGGCAGGTGTGAGGCACAGAAATCACGGGAAGGAGAGGGGTTCGCTCAGGGTCCAAGGCGTCGCTCCACGATGTCCCCTGCTCTCTGGTGTCTGACTTCCAGGTGTTTGTTTTGCACCTTCTCGAAGTGCTGCAGAAGCTCATTGTAGTCTATCCTCACCGAACCATCATTGGGGGATGTCAGGGCAGCTGCCTTGCTGTGCCTGTGAAGAGGAGAGTCATTTCCAGTACTCAATGTGGGAGGATTCAATCACTGCCCCAAGTCCTTACAATGTGGGAAAAGCCCCACACCTGGCAACATACTACAGCCTCCATGTGGGTACAATATGGGCAGCATCTAAAGGGACAATTATATGGTTGCAGAATATTGCACATTCATAAACAGGTGAACAAATCTTTAAAAATTGTATTTTTGTACTTGTTCTAAAATCCTTTTCTTGGTGTCCAAGGACACAAACTGTAAACCTTAGGTTATACTGCTGCCTACAGGACTATTGGACAAGACAAACAAACTGAGCCTGCACAGGATAGCCCTCCTACTCCCAACATGCCTCGAAGTTGTAGTGATCATGATCAGAAACAGAGTGGTGAGATATGTGTCCCTCAATGGACTCCAATAAAAGTATTTTATGGAGAGTGCAAAAATTCTATTTTCTTTCTCATCAACTGAGGAACACAGGAAGTCTTAAACCTTCAGGATGTCCAAAAACAGTCCATTTGAAGGGCGAAATACAGAAATGTAGCTTAATGTAAACACCAGAGAACTGGGGGTGGCCCGCAGATCAAAGAGCCACCTGAAGGTCTTTACACCTGAAACTGTAACAGATGAGGCTGAACATTAACCTTGGTAGAACTCAGAGAAAGTGTGAGCAGACCAGGGGCAACCCTTACACATCTGGGGAAATGGACCCTAATGCCAAGAGATTTCATACAGCGAGTCTCCACAGTAATGAGGAAACCCACTCCTTGGTACCAGATGCTTGAATGATGGTCTGTCTGAGGCCACCTAGAAATGGTGGAATGAGAAGCTGCGGTGCCCTTCTGGAATGATAAAATGAGAATCAGTCATCGGGAAAGAAGCAGTGGCTGAGAGATAGACTCGAACAGTCAGAACCCCATCCAGATGATGGAGCAAAATTTCCTTTTGATGAAACAGAGCCAGACAGAGGGATAGGAAAACATGTCCTGGTCAAGGTGAAAAGCGGACAATACTATGGGCATGAAGGAAGTCCTGGCCTGAAAACCAGAACATGCCCTATTTAAGATAAGGCTGGCAGTTCAGATACTCACCTTGCAGAGATAATGGCTACAAAAAAAAAACACTTATAGGTAAAAGCATCCAGAGGAATATCCTTCCTGGTTTCTGAAGCACAGAGAAAATGAGACAGAGATCCAATGAGGGAGCTACATGAGAGACCTCCAATATAAAGATCTGAAAGTGGTTCTAAAAGACAGTGGTTCTAAGGTTGTTTACCTTAATGCATTCTATGCATTAGGGTTAAAAAAAACCTTCTGGGTGCAGCCCCCCTTATACTTACCTGAGCCCCATCTCGATCATGCATGAGAGCAGCGATTCTCCCAAGTCTCTCTCTCTCTTCTTCATTGGCTCACAATCGCAGCAAGTAAGCCAATGAGGAGAGAGCGGGGTGGGGGAAGGATGAGCCTGAGCCGCGCTGTGTGTGTGAAAGGGCAATGTCCATTCACAGGAGCGCAGCTGCTTGAGTGCTTGCTACTGGGGGCACTTGACAGGGCGGAGGAGCCAGAATCAATGTTAGGGGACCCAAAAAGAAGAGGATCAGGGCTACTCTGTGCAAAACTATTGCACACAGCAGATGAGTATAACGTTTTTATTAGAATCACTTTAATCAAAGAGTGGGAGGACAAAGAGCTTTGAAACAAAATGGAAAGAGAATATACTGGACTTCTGATGGTTCTGACATCCAAACACTGGTTCAGACCCAGCTGCAGGAAGAAGAGCATTCATTTCACAGAGAAGCTTCAGGGCTCACAGCAGGTGAAGTATGTCGTCCATGTCTGATGACAGACTTTGCAGGAAGATGACTTTCTAGCCTTGAGCATCATAGGAATCAAAGACTCTGTGCTATTCCCCTGTCACTTAGAACCTGGCCTTCAAAACCCATTCTGTTAAAGCTAGCAATTGTGAAGCAGGATAGCAAATCAACCCTTGGGACAGTAGATCTGCACAGCAACCTAGAGGCCAGGAGGTCTACATCGGGCATACCCCACCTGTGACACAGATCCTGAAACACCTACGGGTGTAGGGCTACTTACCCGGGTTCAGGCACTGCCAAACGGGGCGATCTGCCTGTCATATGTCTGAGGTTTCAATGTACACTGCTGACAAGGCAAGAACATTCAATTCTGCCTAGGGCTGGATACGCTCTTCCTCTGTTACTGCTGGAGGACTTCCGATTTTTCCCTGATGGTTGATATACATCACCCACCATAGTGTTGTCCTACTGAATATGGATCAGATGGGCCCTACCACAGGTTGGTCCGACACTAAAGGGACCACCAATTTGCCTAAAGCTCCAGGATGTTTGGCAGGAGATGAGATTCCTTGAACAACAAAGTCCCTTACACTGATAGGATGACCAGAACGCCTCCCCACCCCAACAGACTGGTGTACATAGTGAGAATCTTCCAAAAGAGAAAGAAGAGAGTTCCAAATTTCCAGAGCTAGATTTCTGAGCCACATCTGGGATAGCCTGGTCCCTGGTATCAAATGAACTGGCCTATCCAGAAACAGAGGGGGATGATTTACTAAAACTGGAGAGTGTAAAATCTGGTGCAGCAGTGCATTGTAGCCAATCAGCTTCTAAAGTCAGCTTGCTCAATTAAGCTTTGATTAAAAAATCCTGGAAACCGATTGGTTTCTATGCAGAGCTGCATCAGATTTTGCACTCTCCAGTTTTAGTAAATCAACCCCATAGTGTCTGGAGTGAAACGGAGCAACTACCTTGAAGGAGGCTACCATCAGCACCAAGACTTTCAAACAGAGATTTGGAAGACTTCTGGATTGAAGAGTTCGAACCTGAGACCAATCTAAAGATTTTCTGAAGAAGAAAAATTTGGACTGAGATGTGTCCGAGTGCAATGCATTTCAGAGTTAGGCTTTGGGCAATAGAGCTGGATCACTACAAATTGGAGGGGGAGCCTTCAGCAGCGGTGTAGAGTCTTGACTGAAGAAAAACTGCAGGTAAAATATTAGGTTAGTCTTCACAACATCAAAGCTCAAGAAAAGTTGTCCATCCTCCTAGGACACTGGAAAAAATGGAAGCATTCTGGTAGTAACAGGGGTTATCCTGGGCTAGTGTCCAATCCTCCTCCTGCAGGCGGCAGTATAATCCAAAGATTAAAGACTTCTGGTTTCCCTCAAAGCACGGGATAGAAATGTGGTTACTGTTCAGACCAATGCAATGCAAAAACAGTACCTGCACTCAGGGCCAGGACAAGGGTAAGCAGAAGGGGCAGGAGCCCAGGGCTCAACAATTTATCGGAGGGGGGGGGGGGTGCAGGTGAAGTTTACACTCATAGTGCTGCTCAAGTCTGGCTTCAACCACTCCCAGTAGGGATCACAACCGCTGCAGACCATCACACGGAACACCATGCAGAGCTGCAGTGGTGTGCCGAGTGTGCTCCTGCACATGGCACTAGTGTTGAGGGAAATACATTCACTCCTCTGTCAGGTAAAGTGATCTCCGCTTGACAGATGCTTTCTAGTCCCAGCCCGGCGTGACGTCATTCAGAGGCCAGAAGGCTGGTAGAGGGAGGAAGAATGAGTGGTGCCGGCGCTGCGGGGGACCTGTATGCAAGCAAGCAGTGCAGATCCTCCTTCCTAACATTACTTCTAGACACACTGACTGTAATGCTGTGTTACACTCTCAATGAGACTTTCCAGTGGAGTGGTTAAGTCTTTGGAGGAGAAAGTGAAGTTTGCCATTTTCTCCATGGGCACCACCTGACCTTGTCCCGGCACTGCCTGCACTACTCATGTTATTGGAGCTCAAAATAAGGAATGACACGCCTACTGCGTATTCAGTTGATTTAGCTATGACCTGATCACCAACCCCATTAAAAAGGACAGATTGCCCCTGAAGTGGAACTAAACTCTCTCAATGAACATGAACTATTTTTAATCCTTATGCTGAGAGTCTTAGTAAATGGATAAGAAAGTTATACTATATTAACATGTTTTAATTTTTTTTTTCCTTTCACATTTCTTCAGTTGCTTCCTTGTTTCTGGCCTAGGCTAAAAGGATGTCATACATGGTAGCAGTCTTCATCTGGAGGAGGCCCTTTCTCAGCTAAGCACAACCTCCTGAGCTAGGGGCAGATGGATTAGAGGAAGTAAATACTACATAAATCATCTGCCCTTGCTCAAGATGGCCATGGCTAGAAATGCTAGGGGGGTATTTTTCAAAATTATTTCTTATCAAAACAAAGCAGAGAGACATGAATGGATGGGTGAGTTTGTCTGAATGTTAAAAAGGAATTAAACAGTGTTTTCGGTTTGTGGTACTCATATACAGTTTAGTTCCACTTTGACCATCTCCTTGCTGCCAGCTCTGATTGGATAGTAGAGTACAGCTCCCTGCTCAGCTCTGAACATAATTGGCTGTCAAGGTTCAGGAAAGGAAGAAGGTTATCTTCAAGAATAAAGACACCCAGAGCTGGTTTTCTGTTTTGTACCTTGAATCAAGTCCCACCTATTCACTACAGTCTCTTTTTCCAATTTATTCTATGCTATAGAGATTTGGATTTTGGAGTACAATATACAAGATGACAGACAACTATCCCCTCTTTCATTAACTAAAAGTTTTAACACTTGCTGTCTGAGGCAATTTTGAAAATTGTTAAAAACTCTTTTTATTTGCTAGAAAATTACTTAGAACCCCCAAATGTGGGGAGGGTGGGCCTTTGCAGTGCTGTAAAAGTGATTGGGCAGCTGTAAAGACAGCTAATTGCCAGCTGAAAAAATGGTTGCCATGATCCTGGTATAAGCACCTGTTGACAGAACATTTTTATATGTACCTTGGTTAGCAAGTGGCTAAAGTGTATATAAAGCCCAAATTTACAGAGACTGACAGCCTCTTCCCTATTGTGGGCTCTGCAAAGGACCTGTCCATGTATGACCCCAACTTGGCCTCCCAGGTACTGGTCATGAGTGCCATATATAGCACCACTCCTGAGTCCAGCATTGAATAAATGAAGTCTACTCGAAAGCACATACAAAGCAAAATGTTTTGGTTGTCACAGACTGCAATTCTGTTTTATGGAATGAGCTCCAAGATTAAATTCAGCTGGGCAAGATATGGACAATAGCTCCACCTTTATAGAACCTACAGATTTGCCCGGAGGGTGAGCCGCAAGAGGACACTGCTCAGGAAGACACCCCAAGCTCTAGAACAGGGTTTCTCAACTAGGGTTCCTCCAGAGGTTTCTACGGGTTCCTTGAGCAATGAGAAATTTCTGCCTCTCAGATAAGTTCCCATTGACAACATTGATCTTTTTAGCCATGTGTAAGGGAGCAATTCTTCCCAATGGCCTCAAGTGGAAGGGGCATTCTTCCCAATGGCCTCAAGTGGAAGGGGCATTCTTCCCAATGGCCTCAAGTGGAAGGGGCATTCTTCCCAATGGCCTCAAGTGGAAGGGGCATTCTTCCCAATGGCCTCAAGTGGAAGGGGCATTCTTCCCAATGGCCTCAAGTGGAAGGGGCATTCTTCCCAATGGCCTCAAGTGGAAGGGGCACTCTTCCCAATGGCCTCAAGTGGAAGGGGCATTCTTCCCAATGGCCTCAAGTGGAAGGGGCATTCTTCCCAATGGCCTCAAGTGGAAGGGGCATTCTTCCCAATGGCCTCAAGTGGAAGGGGCATTCTTCCCAATGGCCTCAAGTGGAAGGGGCATTCTTCCCAATGGCCTCAAGTGGAAGGGGCATTCTTCCCAATGGCCTCAAGTGGAAGGGGCATTCTTCCCAATGGCCTCAAGTGGAAGGGGCATTCTTCCCAATGGCCTCAAGTGGAAGGGGCATTCTTCCCAATGGCCTCAAGTGGAAGGGGCATTCTTCCCAATGGCATCAAGTGGAAGAGGCATTCTTCCCAATGGCCTCAAGTGGAAGGGGCATTCTTCCCAATGGCCTCAAGTGGAAGGGGCATTCTTCCCAATGGCCTCAAGTGGAAGGGGCATTCTTCCCAATGACCATCACACTAATGTATAATGAGTTGTTTTCATAGTAATGTTTAGCAGGGGTTCCCTGAAACCGGAAAAGTTTGTCAAAGGTTACTCTGAGAAAGGCTACTCTATAGTAAATGTAGGAACAGGACTGAAAGGAGAATCATCATTGGCTTCTTGGGGTGAAAGCAAGACTCTACCATTCCTCTACAGCTCCTTACCCTAAGGTATGTGCAACACTTACCCTGATCGCATGAGCTGAGGGTTGGGGACACATTGTAGACGGTGTGATAGCAGCTGGAAAGCGCTGCTCTGTGGTAACAGCATCAGAAGTCCGTACAGTGCTCTGATCAGATACGGGTGATTCTCCACATCCAGAAGTTGCAGGCGGAGATCTGAGGGGGAGAAGACAGATTACATGGCATGGCTACTAACTGTCAGTTGAAGAGCAGATGGTGTGAGAATGAGAATGGGACAGGCCTCAAAAACATCCCAACAACCACCTCTCAGAAAAAAAAAAAAAAAACACCTAGGGCAAATCCAAGGAACATTTCCCTAAAATTTGAGTCTTCACCTTCTCCTACCAGCCCTTTGTCATCACCTCCCTTCCCTTTGTCATCATTTCCCTTCTCCTCCTTGCCCTTTGCCATACTCTCCATTTTCCTCTCCCTTCCTTCTCCCTGTGCTCAGATGTGTTACATACAGTATTCCCTCTTATATTCCATACTGTGGATGACCTGACATGTCCGCTGCACACCGACTCTTCTCCTTACAGGCACGCAGCCATCTGATCATTTCTGCTCCATTTCCCAGCCAACGTGCTGGAAGCTATGTGTTATTAGGACATGTGAAGGGGGAAAAGCTTCCAACATACGGATACACAGGCCAGTGGGGGGGGCCACTCCTAACATACGGATACACAGGCCAGTGGGGGGGGTCACTCCTAACATACGGATACACAGGCCAGTGGGGGGGCTCACCATCCTAACATACGGATACACAGATACCCAAGGAGAGAGCTCCATGTTATAATACAGTGCAAAGGAAGGGCTCCCATCATACAGACGCATAGACCCAGAGGAGAGCTTCCATCATATGAATACACAGGCACAGGGAAGAGCTCCCAATATACAGACCCGGGAGAGAGCTCCCAATATACAGACCCGGGAGAGAGCTCCCAATATACAGACCCGGGAGAGAGCTCCCAATATACAGACCCGGGAGAGAGCTCCCAATATACAGACCCGGGAGAGAGCTCCCAATATACAGACCCGGGAGAGAGCTCCCAATATACAGACCCGGGAGAGAGAGCTCCCAATATACAGACCCGGGAGAGAGCTCCCAATATACAGACCCGGAGAGAGCTCCCATCATACAGACCCGGGAGAGAGCTCCCATCATATACAGACCCGGGACAGAGAGCTCCCAATATACAGACCCGGGACAGAGCTCCCAATATACAGACCCGGGAGAGAGCTCCCATCATACAGACCAGGGAGAGAGCTCCCAATATACAGACCAGGGAGAGAGCTCCCAATATACAGACCAGGGAGAGAGCTCCCAATATACAGACCAGGGAGAGAGCTCCCAATATACAGACCAGGGAGAGAGCTCCCAATATACAGACCAGGGAGAGAGCTCCCAATATACAGACCAGGGAGAGAGCTCCCAATATACAGACCAGGGAGAGAGCTCTCCCAATATACAGACCAGGGAGAGAGCTCCCAATATACAGACCAGGGAGAGAGCTCCCAATATACAGACCCGGGAGAGAGCTCCCAATATACAGACCAGGGAGAGAGCTCCCAATATACAGACCCGGGAGAGAGCTCCCAATATACAGACCAGGGAGAGAGCTCCCAATATACAGACCAGGGAGAGAGCTCCCAATATACAGACCCGGGAGAGAACTCCCATCATACAGATATAAGACCCAGGGGGAGAGCTCCCAATATACAGACCAAAGGGTTTGAGAGCTCCCAATATACAGATACTCAGACCCCAGGGAGAGAGCTCCCAATAGATACAGACCCGGGAGAGCTTCATCATGCAGATACTCAGACCCAGGGGAGAGCTCCCATCATGCATACAGACCCAGGGGAGAGCTCCCATCATATACAGACCCAGGGGAGAGCTCCCATCATGCAGATACTCAGACCCAGGGGAGAGCTCCCATCATACAGATACTCAGACCCAGGGGAGAGCTCCCATCATGCAGATACTAAAAGGGGTTTGGAGCTCTCAGTGTAGATACTCAGACCCAGGGGAGAGCTCCCATCATGCAGATACTCAGACCCAGGGGAGAGCTCCCATCATGCAGATACTCAGACCCAGGGGAGAGCTCCCATCATGCAGATACTCAGACCCAGGGGAGAGCTCCCTTCATGCAGATACTCAGACCCAGGGGAGAGCTCCCATCATGCAGATACTCAGACCCAGGGGAGAGCTCCCATCATGCAGATACTCAGACCCAGGGGAGAGCTCCCATCATGCAGATACTCAGACCCAGGGGAGAGCTCCCATCATGCAGATACTCAGACCCAGGGGACAGCTCAAATAATAAAGGCTGGGGGATTAGTTCCCATCATATGGATACACACACGCACATGGGAGGGAGGTTGGAAGGGTTCCCATTATACAGATAGTGTATATGGACCCGACCGACAGATGTCTTTTCAAACCCAGCAAACCACAATCCAGACCAGGGAAAGGAAATGTCTGAACAATTCAAATAAAATCAAATGTCTGTCTATATTCTATAACAAAGTCCTAATATCTATAAAACAATACTATAAAATAATGACTATAAAACAATAAGTCTCTCCGGCTGTGACACGGATGGGGAGGAAGTGAAGGATGATGGGAATTTACTCACATGTAAAGATTGGACATTCAATCAGTTGCACCAGCTTGTCCACCTCGGTCAGGAAATCCACCGTCACCTCCAGGTCACCACTAAGCACTGGCGTCAAGGAAAAACAGTGCAATGCACTCACTAGGATAGAACAGAGCTCCACCCTACAGCCCCCATACAGGTCCCTGTGCCAGTCCTTATTCTGCATGGAGGACTTAAAGTGTCCTGAAGAATGACTCCAGCTGAGGACAGGACTGGTGGTGGTCAGCAAGGACACGTCGCCATCTCTGCACACACTACATTAAGGATACAATTTCTGGATGAGGTGATATGCGTGCTTGTAGTTCTGAGTGAGGAAACACAGAGACACGGTGGCCACGGGGCTGTGACACCATGAGCGGTACAGACAGCAGAACAGGTCACAGCTCTCCTGCAATGGGAAAACAGACAGGTAATAGAGGTCCCCTCTGTCAAATTTCTTAGATCACAAACAACATATGGTTCCCAATGACAGTCCTAGAAATGCCACACTCTGAGCTGTTCTCCCGGGTCCTCTCTGTCACTGTCCTGTGATCTCTGACCATAAACATGTTCCAATGACAGCCCTAGATACACCACACTCTGAGCAACAGTCCCTCTGTGACTATTCTGTGATATCAGACCACACACATCCCAATGATGCTACTAGAGACACTACACTCTAGACAGTGGTCTTAGGGTCCCCTTTATTACTGCTCTTTCATCACAAACCACACACGTTCCAATGATGGTCCTAGAGACATCACGCTCTGAGCAATGGTCCCAGGGTCCCCTCTGCCACCATTCGCTGAGCACAGACCACACATGTCCCAACAATGGTCCTAGAGATGTCATGCTCCAAGTGGTCCCGGAATCACCTCTGTTACCATTCTGTGATCTCAGACCACACATGTCCCAACAATGGTCCTAGAGATGTAAATTAAATAAATACTTGTGAGCCACTAGAAGTTTTTCTTACTCTCAAAACAATTAATTACGTGCATAAAAAGTAATATGAATATAATATATATGTGAACAACTAAAGTATTAATAATTAATTACGTGCTTAAATAAATTATATAAAATGTTATATATATTATATTAGATCGCCAGGTACTTATTACACCCTCTCCAGGTGTATAGGTGTTAACTTTAAATATCAATATTGTACCGCGCTCCAATATATACAACTATGAGTGATGTTATAAATTTTTTTGTGATATTGTAAATTGCTGAGTGTATCACCAATAATTCGATACTTAACTAAATCAATTATACTTCAATCCATACTTAATATAAATAATAAATATAAAAAAAACCAATTAATTAAAAAATAAAAGTGCAAAAAAATATATATATTGTTGAAAAAAAATTGTATATAAAGAATATATATAAGTATGGGAATAACAGTTCAGTTCATAAGAATAGAGATGGTATTGTAGTTCAATCTAATCTGTGTGATGAGTCAGTGTTCACGGAGTGAACCTCTCTCTCCTTTCTCCTCTCCTCTCTCCTCAACACAGCCTTCTCAATAGGACTTTCTCCACTGGCTGCTTGGCTTATTCCTCCATATACGATACATACAGAGAAGGGAAAAGGAACATAGTGTCTTATCCGAGATAATGGTTGTTTATTAAACTTTGATCTCCCACTCACATGGTAATGAACAAATGTAGCGCTTTGTATAAAATGTATCCAGATCCTACTACAAACAGCCTTGCAGGTGTGTTTGTCTTCATTGAGTATACTCGCCGTTCCTCTGTGGATGCGTGATGACGTCACCGCCCCTCCCCTACGTGTTACGCTACAGGGACTCGTAGCTTCCTCTGGGGGATGTAGTTTAGGTCCTAGAGATGTCATGCTCTAAGTGGTCCCGGAATAATTTCTGTTACCATTCTGTGATCTCAGACCACACATGTCCCAGCAAAGGTTCTAGACACCACACTGGCAGCAGTCCCGGGGTCCCCTCTGTCACTGTTCTGTGATCACACAAATCCCAGCAATGGTCCCGGAAATGCCACGCTCTAAACAGTGATCCTGGGGTCTCATCCGTCACTGTTGGGTGATCACAGACCATGCACACCTCAGTAAAAGACTTTGACATGACATGTGCTGGACAGTGGTCCCGGAGTCCCCATGTCACCATCGTCTCATCACAGACCACACAGGTCCCAATGACAGCCTTCGGGTGGTCAAGCCAGGCTCTGGGTGGTCCAGGGTTTCCCTATGTCTCGGTTTTCTGATCATAGACCACACAGGTCCCAATGACAGCTCTAGACACGCCAGGCTCTGGGTGGTCCAGGGGTTCCCTATGTCTCGGTTTTCTGATCACAGACCACACAGGTCCCAATGACAGCCCTCGACACGCCAGGCTCTGGTGGTCCAGGGGTTCCCTATGTCACGGTTTTCTGATCACAGACCACACAGGTCCCAATGACAGCCCTCGACACGCCAGGCTCTGGGTGGTCCAGGGGTTCCCTATTTTCTGATCACAGACCACACAGGTCCCAATGACAGCCCTTTGGGTGGTCCTTCCCTATGTCATCTGATCACAGACCACACAGGTCCCAATGACAGCCCTCGACACGCCAGGCTCTGGGTGGTCCAGGGGTTCCCTATGTCACGGTTTTCTGATCACAGACCACACAGGTCCCAATGACAGCCCTCGACACGCCAGGCTTTCTTCCCTATGATCACAGACCACACAGGTCCCAATGACAGCCCTCGACACGCCAGGCTCTGGGTGGTCCAGGGGTTCCCTATGTCACGGTTTTCTGATCACAGACCACACAGGTCCCAATGACAGCCCTCGACACGCCAGGCTCTGGGTGGTCCAGGGGTTTCCTATGTCACGGTTTTTCTGATCACAGACCACACAGGTCCCAATGACAGCCCTCGACACTCCAGGCTCTGGGTGGTCCAGGGGTTCCCTATGTCACGGTTTTCTGATCACACAGAATGACAGCCCTCGACAGGTCCAGGGGTTACCCTATGTCACGTTTTCTGACACAGACCACACAGGTCCCAATGACAGCCCTCGACACAGGCTCTGGGTGGTCCAGGGGTTACCTATGTCACGGTTTTCTGATCACAGACCACACAGGTCCCAATGACAGCCCTCGACACTCCAGGCTCTGGGTGGTCCAGGGGTTCCCTATGTCACGGTTTTCTGATCACAGACCACACAGGTCCCAATGGTCCCAATGACAGGGTGGTCCAGGGGTTACACGCCAGGCTCTCTGGGTGGTCCAGGGGTTACCTATGTCACTGTTTTTCTGATCACAGACCACACAGGTCCCAATGACAGCCCTCGACACGCCAGGCTCTGGGTGGTCCAGGGGTTCCCTATGTCACGGTTTTCTGATCACAGACCACACAGGTCCCAATGACAGCCCTCGACACTCCAGGCTCTGGGTGGGTCCAGGGGTTCCCTATGTCACGGTTTTTTCTGATCACAGACCACACAGGTCCCAATGACAGCCAGCCCTCGACACGCCAGGCTCTGGGTGGGTGGTCCAGGGGTTACCTATGTCACTGTTTTCTGATCACAGACCACACAGGTCCCAATGACAGCCCTCGACACGCCAGGCTCTGGGTGGTCCAGGGGTTCCTATGTCACGTTTTCTGATCACAGACCACCACAGGTCCCAATGACAGCCCTCGACACGCCAGGCTCTGGGTGGTCCAGGGGTTCCCTATGTCACGGTTTTCTGATCACAGACCACACAGGTCCCAATGACAGCCCTCGACACGCCAGGCTCTGGGTGGTCCAGGGGTTACCTATGTCACTGTTTTCTGATCACAGACCACACATGTGGTCCTAGACCTGCCACGGTCTGGGCAATGGTTCCCTCTGTCACTGTTCTATGATCATATACATCCTAATGACAGTCCTAGACATGCTACACTCAGTGCCTAAAATTCAAATTGTTACTCAAAGCAGCTGTTATTGAATCTCACTTCCCTTCCAGTACTGGAAGGATGAGGGGATGTAACTACTACTTATTAAAAAGGTACCATCGGGAGCAAGATAGTTCCATTCAGTAGACAATGTAACGTCTGTGGGCCCCATAAAGACCTATCCCCCCACCCCATGGCCCCATAAAGACCTATCCCCCCACCCCATGGGCCCCATAAAGACCTATCCCCCCACCCCATGCCTTTTCTCAGAAGTAGGACTTCCCAGGGAATTTCTCTTCCTCCCCTCTGATTCGCTCACACACTGAACAGGAAGTAACATTGGCCCTGTCACATCATTGAATTTTGTTGCTCGCCAAGTGACCTGACCGGAGCATACCGGTGTCTGGAGATCTTTCAGTTGACTGCGGAGCTGGAAGAGTTCAGAGGAGGTCAGCAGGATGCTGTTCAGATTCTGCACCATGGTTGATGCAAACTTCAGATCCTCCTCCCTCAGCAAAATGTCCGCCATGGAGTGGAAGATGTTCTCCGCGTTCAGCAGAAGACAAAGCTGTCTGTGGAGGGAAGGAGATTGCAAGTGACCCCCATCTACATCACCCACCAATCCCCCCCCCCCCTTCCCCGCTACTTGCTGACTCCAATAAAGATGACCACAGATGGATCTTTTTCCTCGATCAGCCAGAGGGGAAAAAAACAAAAAACCTTGAATAGATTGCCCCATCCCACACAAGTGAGAGGTTGATGATGGAATCCTCCCCACCGTGCTATTGTATTCTCACAGCGAGAACTCCCATCTCACTCCAAACTACAGGATCCCCCCCTACACCTCAGTACTACAGAGCCCTCCCCACCACAGACCCCCCCCCCCCCCCCCAACACACAACTCTGCAGTACAGAACCGACTAACTACAGAACCTCTCCTCACCACTGCAATACAGACCCCCCCCCCCCCCCCAACTTCACACTATAGGACGTCCTCTACACTACAGAACCTCTTCCCACCTCCCTCTACACTACAGACCCCTCCCTCAATATTTGCAGTACAGAACTCCACCCCACTTCTGCATTCCAGAACTCCTGATTCCTCCCCCCAAGTGCTCGGGCCTAGCATGTGGCAGCTGAAATACAATTTCCAACCTCCCCAGAGACGACAATGCACAGGTAGGACCAGCAGGGAAGAGATGCCAACTAAACTTAGACCCAGGATACTGCGAGACCCGAGGAAGAACTATTCCACCCCGGCTGCATCCATCCCAGGGACGAGACACAGCCATACACTATCAGTTATATGAGCTGAATATTCCCTTCCTAAATGGAGGATGTGGGAGCAATAATTGCCCCCTGTGATTACCCCATGTAATTGCATTGTGCACCCACCTGATGATAAAGGCCCCACGGGTCTCCAGCAGTCTCCTCTCACTACTGAACCTCTTCAGCAAGTTGACCATGAAGCGATGGAAGTAAGAATTCATGGTCGGGGTGGATGGTGAGCTCTCCAGGCCACGGGCACCTAGAAAAGAGATCAGGTATGGAGATCTGATCATATTCGCCCAACAGATCTCTTAACTGGTCATGTTATCCAGAATTGGAATCAGCACGGAAATATTCGGCAGACAATCTCATACAGTTTGGGACATGATTTCTGCTTTCATATTAAAATTCCCAACTCATTCTGCTCCAATTTTCTGCACACCCACCATTGTTCTCCTAGAATCACTGTGCCTGATGGCCGGGGCTGTCTGTTGTCCTACAGCTGGTGTTCTCTAGCAGAAGATGGCTGACATGTCGTCCCCTCCTCTCTACGGCAGAGACGTCCTATCAGGACAGATGTCAAGCCAATCAGAACTCAGAATTATAGTAGCACAACCATCCAGCTACAAGCGGAGTTCTTCTTCTTCTCAGCCTCCTGTTCACCCCCATGCCAGCATTATGTGAAACACAAAATCCTTATATCAATATATGGCCAATTACATGTATGGGAATCCGCATTTCTTATTGGCCAATGTTGTTCCAAAAAGTTTAGTACACCCAAAAGTGATTTTTCATACACGTGGAGCTTGGTGGGCAGAATCAGCTGCCAACTTCTTACAGGTCTTGGATACTCCAACAGCAAGGTGTCCCATGCCTCTTCACCTCAGGAGCTGACACTCTAATGTCAGAACGGATTGAGGTCAGAAGGCTATGGTTATAGGGCTAGGGGGATTAGAATTAGAGGGTTTTTGCATTAGAGGGTTAGAGGTTAGACTTAGAGGGCTAGGGTTAAAGGGCTATTAGGAGGGTTGCAGGGTTAGAGGGCTAGGGTTGCAGGGTTAGAGGGCTAGGGTTGAAGGGTTAGGGTTAGGGTTGAAGGGTTAGAGGGCTAGGGTTGAAGGGTTAGAGGGCTAGGGTTGCAGGGTTAGAGGGCTAGGGTTGCAGGGTTAGAGGCTAGGGTTGCAGGGTTAGAGGGCTAGGGTTGCAGGGTTAGAGGGCTAGGGTTGCAGGGTTAGAGGGCTAGGGTTGCAGGGTTAGAGGGCTAGGGTTGAAGGCTAAAGGGTTAAGGGTTAGGGGGCTACAGTTAGAAAACTAGGGTTGGAGGATAAGATTTAAAGGGTTAAGGGGCTATGGTTAGAGGACTAGGGTTAGATAGTTAAAGAGCTAGGGTTAAAGGGTTAAGGACTATAATTAAAGTGTTAGAGAAATACACTCACTGGTCACTTTATTAGGTACACCTTGCTAGTGCCAAGAAAATATCCTTCACACCATTACACCACCGCGAGCCTGAACCGTTGACACAAGGCAGGATGGATCCATGCTTTCATATTTTTTACACCAAATTCTGATCAGAACATCTAAATGTTGCAGCAACCAGTCTGCCCATTCTCCTCTGACCTCCAACATCAACAAGGCATTTTCATCCACACAACTGCTACTCACTGGGTATTTTCTCTTTCGCGGACCATTCTCTGTAAACCCTAGAGATGGCTGTGCGTGAAAATCCCAGTAGATCAGCAGTTTTTGAAATACTCAGACCAGCCTGTCTGGCACCAACAACCATGCCACGTTCAAAGTCACTTAAATTCCCTTTCTTCCCCATTCTGATGTTTGGTTTGAACTTCAGCAAGCCATCCTGACCACATCTAGATGCCTAAATGTATTGAGTTGCTGGCATGAGATTGGCTGATTAGCAATTTGTGTTACCAAGCAATTGAACAGGTGGACCTAATAAAGTGGCTGGTGAGTGTATGTTTAAAGGGTTAGGGTTTAAGGGTTAGAGGGCTAGGGTTAAAGGGTTGAGGGGCTACAGTTAGAGGGCTAGGATTAGAGAGATAAAGGGCTGGGGTTAAAAGGGGTAGAGGGTTAGAGTTAAAGGGTTAGAGGACTAGAGCTAAAGGGTTAAAAGACTAGGGGGGTTAAAGGGTTAGGGGGCTACGGTTAAAAGGTGAAGGGGCTAGGGTTAGAGGACTAGGTTTGGAGGGTTAGGATTAAAGGGTTTAAAGTACTAGGGTTAAAGGGTTAGGGGAGTAGATTGAATGGACTGGGGTTAAAGGGATAGAATTAGACGGGTAGGGTTAAAGGGTTAAGTGACTAGTTAGAGAATCAGGGTTATGGTTATAGCATTAGAGGGTATAATACATGGTTAGGGTTGGAGGGGAAGAGTTAGAATGTTAGGAGTTTCAAGGTGTTCTTCCCCATGGGGTGTTTTGACACTCCTTTGTTATGTGCACCTGTTACATATTCTCTATAATATATATCAGGGGCGGACTGACAACTCATGGGGCCCCCGGGGCAATAGGGGATCATGGGGCCCCTGTGTCCTTGCCCAAACTCAAAAAAGCCTATGAAAAAGGTACCAGGGGCATCTCATGGGGCCCCCTACTGACCCCGGGCCCTCGGGCAGTGCCCGAGTTTCCAAATGGTCAGTCCGCCCCTGATATATATATAATAATCAAATATAAATAAAAATCCAGGAGGGATGGAGGGTTCCCTCAAAACAGACACAGAACCCTATAACGGGAAGTGCCCAAACAAAGACCCTCAGAGCAGAATCACCAGAGATTATTCTAATGAAAGACTGAAAATGACATGTTAAAGCTACCATGAGATTTACATAGATCACAAAAGTGCATCCCCACCCCTCCCCCCGGGTACTGGTGCCAATACAATCACTGGGGGCACTGCCATTGACCGTACTAGCATTCACACTCGTACTGGCTGCTGGAATGCATGGTGCCCTTTAACAGAAGGAAGTGAACTTTGATCCCCTCCCCTGAATCCTCCAACCATGGACATGTAAGGAAGCAGAGGTCGCCTCTCCTGCCAATATCGGAGTTATATAGACAATACCTCAATCTCGATCAGGACAAGACCAATGACCACAGCATGCAAGACCCTCTATAATAGGAGTGCCAAACTGGTGGCCCTCCAGCTGTAGCAAAACTACAAGTCCCATCATGCCTCTGCCTTTGGGACTCATACTTGTAACTGTCAATCTTGGAATGCCTCATGGGACTTGCAGTTCGGCAACAACTGGAGGGCCGCCAGTTTGACACCCGTGCTCTATGATATATGGGGTGAATGAGCTTCATCTGAAGACATGCTTGCACATGCACTGGACTACGGGAAGGCCTGACTGCACACACACTGGGGTCACGGTATAATTTACCTTCGCCTGGTTGAACACCTCGGGTCGGGGGTGGCACACACAGTGTAGATTGACCGGAGAAGAGCTCCCCACCATCGTTGTTGGGATCTGTCTGGCCAGCTGGGGAGGAGGCAATCTCAGCCAGGACCTCCAGATCCTTCAAGATGACCTAAAAGACAGAATTGATAGATTATACATCATGTCCTGATGGTGTACAGACAGTGGAAAAAGCACAGGATTCACCCCCAGGAATTATACACTATGCCCTGATGATGCACAGACAATGAGAAAAACACAGGATTCCACCCCAGAGATTGTACATTATGTCCGGATGATGTAAAGACACTGGGAAAAGCACAGGATTCCACCCCAGATATTATAGACTAAGTCACCCCTTCCCCATCACACCTCTATCAGTGTCCCTGCTAGGGAGACTTGTCCTGAAGATAATGAGACAGAACATGATGGGAAACCAAAATGGTACAGTTGTCACCAGAACAGGAAGTGAGGGAAAATATTTCAATGGGACACAAAAGGCAAAACAACTGTCAGGGATTTCTAACAGTTATCTGTTGCACATCAACGTCAGGATGCGTCCCCCTGAGCCCCAAAGTCACAACATGTCCCCCTGATCCCCAAAATCAAGACGTGTCCCCCTGAGCCCCAAAATCAAGACGCTCTACCCGAGCCCCAAAATTAAGACGTATCTAACTGAGCAACAAAGTCGCGACTCATCTCCCTGAGCCCCAGAGTCGCGACACGTCACCAAGAGCCCCAGAGTCGCGACGCGTCACCCAGAGCCCCAGAGTCGCGACGCGTCACCCAGAGCCCCAGAGTCGCGACGCGTCACCCAGAGCCCCAGAGTCGCGACGCGTCACCCAGAGCGCCAGAATCGCGACGCGTCACCCAGAGCGCCAGAATCGCGACGCGTCACCCAGAGCCCCAGAATCGCGACGCGTCACCCAGAGCCCCAGAATCGCGACGCGTCACCCAGAGCCCCAGAATCGCGACGCGTCACCCAGAGCCCCAGAATCGCGACGCGTCACCCAGAGCCCCAGAATCGCGACGCGTCACCCAGAGCCCCAGAATCGCGACGCGTCACCCAGAGCCCCAGAATCGCGACGCGTCACCCAGAGCCCCAAAGTCAGGATGCGTCACCCAGAGCCCCAAAGTCAGGACGTGTCACCGCACCCAGAGCCCCAAAGTCACGACGCGTCACCCAGAGCCCCAAAGTCACGACGCGTCACCCAGAGCCCCAAAGTCAGAACACGCCACCCAGAGCCCCAAAGTCAGGACGTGTCACCCAGAGCTCCAAAGTCAAGTGTAAAAGGCTGCCAGGTCTACAGAACAGCTAAAATGTCCAACATAGCACAGATGATCACTTCAGCATGGCGAGTGACGTCACTGCTGACAGCAGAAAAAATGACCGTATGTTACTAGCTGCACTGTGGGTCCAAACCTGACCAATGACCAGTGCTGTGCTCCAGCCCTGACCAATCAAAATTCATCTTTACTGTTCTGGATGAATATGAGATGCAGTGTATCACTCGGCTCTTTCATCTGCCGTATTACATAATCCTCTTGGGGTACATTTGTCCTCATTTCCTCCTCCCCTTCCCGGTATTATACAGGGAGAGCTGTGTGACCCAACCACAGCCGCCACGGCAAAAGGGGTTAATGTCTCTCCAGAGAGGCCAGAGGAGGAGGATGACGGGACGTGAAAGACGGCAGAAGAATGGCGGCACATTAGTATTCAGGATGCAGCTTTCCCGCCTGGTGTGATGCTCTGCAGAACAGCCGCAGCCTCCTGTCACCATGGAAACAAGGGCTGCAATCCCGCAGCTCACTCCACTGGAAGGAGGGGGGGCTGCTCCAGCTACATTAACCCTTTCTGCCCCACCCCACATAAGACTTTGCTTACTGCCAGCTGTTACCATGATGACATTTCAACCTGGAGCGTCAACGCAGACTGAGCGATTACTGCGGGTGCAATTCTAGACACAGGGAAGAGTGACCCCAATACCAGACAGGGAGAGAAGAGAACCAAGAAAGGAGACCCCCCCCCCTCCAAAAAAATGCTGCTAGACCAAAGGATGAGACCCCCCTTCAAAAGAAAACCAGATAGGGAGAGAAGAGATCCCCAAATTCAGACAGGGAAAGAAGACTACCCCCCAAAATGATACCAGACCAAGAAAGGAGACCCCCAAAAAAATGATACCAGACCAAGAAAGGAGACCCCCCCCCCCCAAAAAAAAAATATAAAAAAATGATACTAGACCGAGAAAGGAGCCCCCCCCCCCCCCAGAAAAAAAAACTATACACGACAGGGATAGTAGAGACCCTGCCAAACTGACTCTGGACAGGGTTAGAAGACCCCCCCTCCTCCATAAAACCAAGAGAGGAAGACCCCCCCCCAACCTCAAACTGATTTCAGAAAGAGAGAGAAGAGACCCCTCCAAACTGATTCCAGACCAAATGAGCAAAGAGACCCCCCCAAACTAATTGCAGACAGAGAAAAGAGGGGCCCCCCCCCCCCTTTCCCGACAATGATCCATGTCCAGCACATTAAGTGCATATATGTATGTATGGAACACAAAGTGTAGGGGCCAGGAGTAGCTCAGAGTGCAGAGGTCAGGAGTAAGAACTGACAGCCAATGAATGAAAGGGGCGGTCCAGGGAAAGTGAGGCTGCGGAAGAAAGAGCTAGATGATGCCGGACATCCTCCAGCCAGGAAATGAGGCGGGTTCTATTTGACTTGCTGTTGCTTCTAATGCACATTGTGAGAAGCTCACAGTGTGCAGTGAAATCAGAGTAAGCCATTTCAGTCCAGGAGAGGAGCCGGTACAACTGGAGTATTGTAATCCCTATCAGACACCGACACAGATAAGAGAACATTTCTAACTAGTGACACCAGAACTCCCAGGATGCATTGCGGTCCAACAGGAGGAGGGCACAGAAGGCTCTAGCGGGTTTCTCACCTCGTCAGATTCGTCAGACAAGGTCCTCAGCAGGATGGGAAACAGACTGTCTGTGTGACGGAACATCTACAAGAGAACACAGAGGATGAGAATGACAGAGAATGTAAGAATCAAAAATCATATGGTTCCTCGGGGGAGGGACATAATCAGCCCACAGGAGGGGCAAAAACCCAAGGCAACCACCTCACATCAATGTTCTATGAACTCTCAGTAGCCAGATGTGTGGGGCCCAGGGCCACATATAGACAACAAAAATCGCTTTCATTTTAGGATATCCCCCAAATATTTCTCCAAATCAAAGTCTGGAAAGTAATAAACTGAAACAAAAATAGTATACATACTCCTCCCTTCCCCAATATAGAAGAGAGCATGTCTGGGAAAAACCGAAACATATTTAGTACACCTCCCCAATACACAGGAGGGGGTGGGATATAGGGAGAGGGGGAGGGGTTAGACATGAGGTGTGGGGGAGGAGTAGAGAGATAAGTGGGGGAGGAGTTAGGGTGAGGCAGAGGAGTTATGGAGATGAGGAGTGAGGAATGGGATATGGAGATGAGGAGTGAGGGGGAGGGGGGGGGTGTTATGGAAATAAGGAGGGTTGTGGAGATGAGAGTGGTGGATTGGTTATGGAAATGAAAAGGGGAGGAGTTATGGAGATAAGGAGAGGTTATGGGGGGAGTGGAGGGGGTTATTGAGGTGAAAAGGGGAGGAGTTATGGAGATGAGGCTTGAGAAATGGGATATGGAAATGAGAGAATAAGAGGGGGGGGGGGTATGGAAATGAGAGGGGGGTTGTGGAGATGAGTGGTGACGTGTTATGGAGATGAAAAGGGGAGGAGTTATGGAGATAAGGAGAGGTTATGGGGGGGAGTGGAGGAGGGGGTTATGGAGAGGAGGGGTTATGGAAATGAAATGGAAATGAGGAGGGTTGTGGAAATGAGAGTGGTGGAGGTTATGGATATGAAAAGAGGAGGAGGAGTATGGAGATCAGGAGGAGGTTATGGGGGGAGTGGAGGAGGGGGTTATGAAATGAAAAGGGGAGGAGTTATGGAGATGAGGCTTGAGAAATGGGATATGGAAATGAGAGAATGAAAGGGGGGGGGGGGGAGATGGGAGGGTATGGAAATGAGAGGGGGGTTGTGGAGATGAGTGGGTAGACGTGTTATGGAGATGAAAAGGGGAGGAGTTATGGAGATAAGGAGAGGTTATGGGGGGGGGGTTACAGAGCTGAGGAGGGGTTATGGAAATGAGGAGGGTTGTGGATATGAGAGTGGTGGATTGGGTTATGGATATGAAAAGGGGAGGAGTTATGGAGATAAGCAGGAGGTTATGGGGGGAGTGGAGGAGGGGTGAGATGGGGAGGTTATGGAGAGGAGGCGTGAGAAATGGGATATGGAAATAAGAGAATGGGGGGGGGGGTTATGGAAATGAGAGGGGGGTTGAGGAGATGACTGGTTATGGAGATGAAAAGAGGAGGGTTAAGGGATAAGGGGAGATTATGGGGGGAGTGGAGGAGGGGGTTACAGAGTTGAGGAGGGGTTATGAAATGAGAGGGGGAGGGGTTGTAGAGATGAGAGGGGCAGGGTTATGGAACTGAGCAGCTGTTAATGGGACAAGGAATGGGGGAGGGGCTACAGAGGTGGTTCTGTAGCCTAGCAGGAGAGAGCGTAGGTAAGGCTGACAACACTCCCTGGGATCTCAGTACAGCAGGGCTCTGTGTTGTCAGCTCATGCAGGAAGTTGGGAGCTCCCTGGATTTCTGGCAGATTACCAGGATAAATGATAAAGTAGAGGGGGAAAATGTTGTGTATTGCAGAGATATACTGAATTTTAGATTTTGCCCAAACCTAACCTTTAAGGGGACACAGACAAAAGTTTAAACCTGAGAAAGATTGCAGCCCCCCACCCCCCATCCAGAAATAAATTGGAAAGATTTTTCTGGAATCGGACTGGTCAGGCGGGGGATAGGTGTGATGCGGAGTGTGGCGGTACGCACCTTGCGTGGAGTCTTAATGTACAGGTGATAGAGCCATTTCAGCACACAGATCCGAGTCATCATCCCCGTGGTGGGTTCATGGAGGTGCCGATCCAAAACCTGCACAATTCCATCCAGATTCAGAGTGACGGCACTTGCCAGAGAGCTGCAACAAGACCAGAGAGAGAATGGCAAGTAATCCTGGACAGAGATGTGTGCTTCACTCAATGGTGAACCTCTTCAATCACTTTATGCCATTACAAACCCAGATATTACTTTGTAAAAGTTGCAGTGACATCATCCCTGTGCTCTGAATAGACTGTGAACAGAGCAGAGCTCCGACAACTACAGAAAAGTACAGGAGGGACAGGGACAAGAACAGTCACCCTACACGAGTTTCAAACCTGAAGTTTGCACATCGCGATTCAAGAAGAATACATATGGTGAATGGACTTAAGAGTTCAGGTTCTGCAGGACTCCTATAGACTCCATATTTACTCCTGGCATTGTACAGACACTCCACATCGCACTGATAAATGTGTATTCTGTCCAGCAAACCTCCGATGTTAGAATATACAGTGGGATCACACCATGACATAGTGTCACCCCTCCCCACAGGAGCGCTCGGAGCACCATTCAGCCACTGTCTACAAATGTCCGACGTACCCTGGATTATAACGACGTCATCATATCAATATGAATCGTTATTAGAGCACATAAATCGTTTTATATAATCATATCTTTATTACATAGAAATTATAAATGATTTATTTCTAAAAATTATTTTTAGTCAAACAATAGGATGTATGATTATGTAGGAATTATATATTGAGCAGGATTGCTCAGTGCTCCACAGACAGAAAGGCCCCTCAATGTGACCACTGGATTGTACTAAAAGAGCAAAAACACAATTATTGAGAATTGTTTGTAAACGTCTTTCAGAATTGAGAATTGAACAGTGACGGGAGGACCCAGCGAGGCTGAGATCAATGTGGACAGGTCTGTGTAGTCTGTATAAACTCTGTCCATCCAGTCCTGAGATTTAAATGGCTCCGTCACACAGCACAGCCCTGGCAGGGCAGGAGACATGGAATTTTCTCTGCTGCAGTTCAGTGACACTTACAGGTGTTGTCCCTCTCCCAGCCTGTAATTGGACAGTGAAAGGAGAAGCAGCAGTTTAATATGCTCATCCCTCTGCTTTCCCTCCACCTCCCATCAGCATGTCCCTTGTCTGCACATGTGCACCTTAAAGCAGGTATAGAATGAAATATTGCTGGCTGAAATGTGCAGAATAATCAGGACAGATGATATAGAATTTATACTATAGTAAATGTTCTACAAAATAAAATTTTGTAGCAGAATTATGTCAATGACTGAAAGTAAAAACAATCCTTGCATTGGCCGGGAATCGAACCCGGGCCTCCCGCGTGGCAGGCGAGAATTCTACCACTGAACCACCAATGCTGCAGATGTTGACTGTTCTGGCCTCTTCCAACAAGTCCTGACACAGATGTGCCACATCATCACAGTCTGACTAAGGCATTCTCAGCCCAGAGACTCCGCTCTTCCGGCTGCCAGGGCAGAGGCTCCGCTCTTCCGGCTGCATTTAGCAGGGCAGAGTATTTAGCAGGGCAGAGGCGCCGCTCTTCGGCTCTTTTAGCCAGAGGCGCCGCTCTTCATTTAGCAGGGCAGAGGCTCTTCGCTCTTTAGCAGGGCAGGGCGCCGCTGCATTTAGCAGGGCAGAGGCGCCTCTTCCGCTCTTTAGCAGGCGGCTGCATTTAGCAGAGGCGCCGCTCTTCCGGCTGCATTTAGCAGGGCAGAGGCCCGCTCTTCCGGCTGCATTTAGCAGAGGCAGAGGCTCCAGCTCTTCCGGCTGCATTTAGCAGGGCAGAGGCGCCGCTCTTCCGGCTGCATTTAGCAGGGCAGAGGCGCCGCTCCGCTCTTCCGGCTGGCTGCATTTAGCAGGGCAGAGGCTCTTCGCTCTTCTTCGGCTGCATTTAGCAGGGCAGAGGCTCCGGCTGCATTTAGCAGGGCAGAGACTTTCCGGCTGCATTTAGCAGGGCAGAGACGCCGCTCTTCCGGCTGCATTTAGCAGGGCAGAGACGCCGCTCTCCGGCTGCTCTTCCCGCTCTTCCGGCTGCATTTAGCAGGGCAGAGACGCCGCTCTTCGCTGCATTTAGCCGACTCTTCCGCATTTAGCAGGGCAGAGACGCGCCGCTCTTGCATTTAGCCGACTGCATTTAGCAGGGCAGAGACGCTCTTCCGCTCTTTAGCAGGGCGAGACGCTGCATTTAGCAGGGCAGAGGCTCTTCCCCGCTGCATTTAGCCAGAGACGCCGCTCTTCCGCTGCATTTAGCAGGGCAGAGACGCCGCTTTTCGGCTCTTTTAGCCAGAGACGCATTTAGCAGGGCAGAGACGCCGCTCTTCCGGCGCATTTAGCTGCATTTCCGGCTGCATTTAGCAGGGCAGAGACGCCGCTCTTCCGACTGCATTTAGCAGGGCAGAGACTCCGCTCTTCCGACTGCATTTAGCAGGGCAGAGACTCCGCTCTTTTAGCAGGGCGACTCTTCCGGCTGCATTTAGCAGGGCAGAGACTCCGCTCTTTAGCCGGGCAGAGACTGCATTTAGCAGGGCAGAGACTCCTTTAGCCGGGCTCTCTTTTCCGACTGCATTTAGCAGGGCAGAGACTCCGCTCTTCCGACTGCATTTAGCAGGGCAGAGACTTTCCGACTGCATTTAGCAGGGCAGAGACGCCGCTCTTCGCTGCTTTTAGCAGGGCAGAGACGCTGCTCTTCCGACTGCATTTAGCAGGGCAGAGACTCCGCTCTTCCAACTGTATTAATTGGGCAGAGTCTCCCCTTTTCTAGCTGTGTGCATCAGTACAGAGTCTCCTCTCTTTCAGCTGTATCAGGACAGATACTCCTCTTTTTCAGCTGTGTGTGCTTCTGGACAGTCTCCTCTTTTCCAGCTGTATCTACAGGACACTCTTCTGTTCCAGCTGTGTGTGCACCAGCACAGACTATGCTCTACTGCAGATGTGCTCTATGAAGCATTGGTGGTTCAGTGGTAGAATTCTCGCCTGCCACGCAGGAGGCCCGGGTTCGATTCCCGGCCAATGCAATCAAATTTATTTCATATTAAAAACAGAGAATTTATTTTCTGCTACAGTCATAAACTTACATTTTAACAGCTTCCCCTCCACCCTATAGCAGAAATACTGCTACAGGGCACCAGGGGTGCATAAAATCCTGTATATATACACACAGGATTTTGCATTTCCGGGTAGGAGGCACATACAAGCTACACACGCGCCCTACGCAGCCTCAATCACACGCGCCCTACCTGCGCCGCCATACGCAGCCTCAATCACCTGGTCCCAGCCGGTGATTACTCGCCGGCACCCAGTGATCGCCGACTTTCTCCGACGGGGGAGAGACCCGTATGTAAACAATACAGATCTCTCCCCTGTCAGCTCGTGCGTGTGTGTGTGTGTGTGTGTGTGTGTGTGTGTGTGTGTGTGTGTGTGTGTGTGTGTGTGTGTGTGTGTGTGTGTGTGTGTGTGTGTGTGTGTGTGTGTGTGTGTGTGTGTGTGTGTGTGTGTGTGTGTGTGTGTGTGTGTGTGTGTGTGTGTGTGTGTGTGTGTGTGTGTGTGTGTGTGTGTAGATAGATAGGAGAGAAACAGAGCTATACGAAGCACACACACAGCCCCCAAAGTGAAACAGCACACAGTTAACCCTTTGATCGCCCCACATGTTAACCCCTTCCTGCCCAGTGCCATTAGCAGTGATTACTGCACTGGTTTAACTGGGGAGGTCAGTGACACCAAGCCAGTTCCAAGTCCAGTGTCAGAATGCCTGCCGCAGTCCCACTATAGGTTGCTGATCGCTGCCATTATTAGTAAAAAAAAAAAAAATTCCAGTATATATATCGCCATATAAACGCTATAAAACGTTCATGCAAACCAATTCATTTACACGTATTGGGAATAGCAGAATACATTTTGGTCTAAATTTATGCTGAAATTTGATTTTTCAAATTTTTTTTACTGGACATGCTTAATAGCAAAAAGTCAAAAATAGAATTAATTTTCTCAAAAATGTCAGTCTTTATTTATAGTGCAAAGAATATAAAAAAAAAAAAACCGCACAGGTGATCAAATACCACCAAAAGAAATCTCTATGTGTTGGAAACAAAGGACGTAAATTTCGTTTGGGTGCAGCGTTGCATGACCGCACAATTCTCAAAGTAACGCAGTGCCGTAATGCAAAAAAATGGCCTGGTCGGGGGGGTAAATCCTCTGGAGGGCGAGGGGTTAATTAATTTGTAGATCAGAGGTGTGACCCTCCATCAACACATGATGTCACTTAAAGAGACTGCACAAGTTTGTTTTTTTTTGGTCTAACTAACGTGCATTCCTATTTAACCCCTTATTAACCCTGATCAAGAATTAACCTCTTCCTCTCTTTAGCCATTTTTTAGCTTTTTTATTTCTACTTTTTTACTATTCATTTCTTTTTATTTTCCCTTTTTAACTTTTTTTTTTTTAAAATTTGCAACCAGAAATCCTTAGTGTCATTTTTAAGTGCCCGGTCATATCGGTGAGATTTCAGGTGTGATTTGGGAATTGAAAAATCGCACCTGAAAATGCATCTAATGAATGTGAATATCAGTGTCTTAACATTTGCTGCAGCGTGATTTCTAAAGTAGTTCTTGCATTACTTTTTCTGCCATTTTGTTGCAGTTTCACCTACATAGAATATGATGGCGATCGTACTGCAAATTGCAAGAAATTGTTGAAAATCTTCACTAGTAGCAATAAAGTTTTCAGAAATTGCACACAAACCATGCGATTTTAAATTGCAGCAGTGTGACTGGTGACTTATTTGAGCAAATTATAGAATTAAATGTTTATTTGTATTTAAAGTACAACTATCAAAAGAGAAAACTTTTTTTTTTTTTGTCCTTCGATTCCATAGAAAATAAAAGGAGAAGGATTGCGCCCCTGCCATTTGCAGAGTTTAGTGAGGCATCGCTCCATCCCGGCTAGCACTAGACGCACAGACATCCCAGTCTATGATCAGTACAGCTGGAGCCGTCACTGATCCCACATGGAGCTCCAGCAGCAGCCGCAGGGTTAACGAGCCTAATTAATCACTTCTTCACCGAAGAGAAGATAGGGCATCATTTAATCAGCTTGTTGTCATGCTAAGTGTGTCATTGTTGTGGAAATGGCAGGAATTCTTCTAGATGTAGCCAATGTGTGTGCGGGGGTGGGGGGGGGGTGGGTGGGTGGTGTCACATGATGGACCCAGGGAGGGAAATGACACCCCAGAGAGCCCCGCTTTTATCTGTCATCCATTCACTGCGTCTCACGCTGGAAAGATTTACGCCGCAGAAAGCGATTAAAGGGACAGGTTCATTCATGGCGGAGGCTATTGTGCCAGAATGACAGAGAGAAAACAAGTAAAAATCGTGTGAATGTCCTCACAACCCCGCCATCATTTCTAACAATGGAGGTCTGAGCCAATGGCATTGCCATCATTTATAAAGGTTGATATCTGAGCAAACAACATCACCGTTATTTAAACACAGTTTAGATCCGAGAGGGAAACAAGGCCTCATAGCAATTACTCCCTCTTCACATCAGGGAACCGATACATAAACAATTGATCAGGTCAGAAAGAGGGGAAGAGAGAGAAACAATCATAAAACAAATAACAGATCAGATTGTAATGTGTATGACTGACGTGAGGTGTTCATCATACAGCAGATATTAAAATCCACTTACGGGACCACCATCAGAGACAGCAGGGATCCAGTACAGGCAGAAAACCTTCCACAGTCATAGAATTCCAGATCAGACAGATCACCTTCCAAAGTTCTGGAGCAGATGGATCAACTACTAGTGACCTGAAGCACACAGATCACCTTCCAGATTCTCCAAATTTTGGAGTAGACGAAGTCCCGGAGCAGATGGATGACCTTCCAGAGTTCCTGAATACCGGAGCAGACGGAAGATGAAGATGGATCACCTTCTACGGTAGACATGTCACCTTCAAGAATCCTGGAATTCCACAGTAGATGGATCATCTTCCACAGACCTACAACAAATGGATAACCAGAGTCTTGGAGCACAAGGATCACCTTCTAGGAGTGCTGGAATTCCAGAGCAGATGGATCACCTTCTAGAGTCCCTGAATTCTGGGCAGATGGAAAACCTTTCAGAGTCCTGAAATTCCCGAGCAGATGGATCACCTGCTAGAAACCTGGAATTCCGGAACAGATGGATTACCTTCCAGAATTCAACAGCACATCGATCACTTTCCAGATCACAGAATTGTGGAGTAGCTGATCATATTCCTTCTAGAGGCCCCGAATTCTGGAGCGGATAGATGACCTTCAGAGTCCTGAAATTCCAGATGAAGATGG